TTTACCTTAAGAAATGATCAAGAATTTTGGACTTCCTGTCTCTGAAATTAGCAATCGATTGGACTGAACATCAAACATTTTGCTCTATTCCTCCTGCCTTGAATCTTCTCCCTAAATCTGGTTTCTACCACCTCTGATATCTGCTGTTCGCCGAAGTTCTGCCAGGCAGGCTTGGCAACCACCAACTCTTTAAACAGTGCTCTTCTGCCTTCAGGGGCAACTTGGAAGAAGAAGATGTTGGCCTGGCAGGGGAAAAGTTTGGATATAAAACTAGAAGTGTGGCCAGGCCTTAAGTTCTGCCTCTTATGATGAGCTAGGGACATGACCATCTCTTTGTCATTTGTGGCTCAAGCACCTCATCTATAGAATGGGGAGGTTGCTCTATTAGAGTACTTATCAGTGAGGCCACTTCCAACCCCTCCTCAGACGAGTGACCTCTTTCCCCAGTGAGGTCCCCAGCACCCTGAATTCACTGACTTGGGAGGTCATGACTTTATGGCTTAGCATTACTAGGTTTTCTGGAGAGAGAAACAGAAGGAAGAGAAAAGCAAAATGGCACACCAAGATAAAACAAAATTATGAATCAGACTCTCTCCCCAGGAAACAGAGTAAATCTCCTTTGGACTTCCTGTAGCAGCAAAGAAAAGCCTTTAATTTCAGAGCCAGAGTTATTTGTATACTGTCTCAATGTCCTTTCACGGAGAGCTCATCGCAAAAACAATAGCAAAGGCAAATGAAAGACAAGCTATTGTTTTGTTGTATTTATATCTCTAATGTAGGAGACAGCATGAAAATATTGGTAAGGAAACTCAGTGAGTCTCTGCTCCAGGGTATACAAAGGCAGCAGGGCCAGATGTTGGAGGACATGATCCCCCTGAAAGAACAAAGGAGAAACATGTTGAATTCCACAAGGGACAGTGGTGGGTTGGGGTGGGGGGTGGGGGAATTGGAGAGCTGGGAGTATTCACTTGGGTGCTCACGAAGCAAGCAAGAGGCTGTGTAGGTAACAGCCTTATCTTCATCAGTGCAGATGCCACTGCCTGACAGCTGCGGGATCGTGGACATAATTGTCATCTCTCTGTCCCTCATTTTCTTCATCTATGAAATGGGAATAAATACAATGCTTCACTCACAGGGCTGTGGTGGAAATTAACCACTTAATATATGTAAATCATATAGGAATATATCTGGAAAGTGTTAAATACTCACTATTAGCTGCTTTTCTTATTATATATAGATCTGTGGAGAAGGTCTTCTTTCAGTCTGAGAGCTATAATGATAAATATCCACCACCATTTTAGGGAGACTATGTGGTACAGTCAAACTCATGTTGTTTCTGCTACTGTACAAACATGGGTGGCGATCCTGGATCCATCACTTTCCAGCCCTCACTCTGGGCAAGGCTGAAGAAACCATGGGTCACTGTGGGTCAAAGTGTAAGGTTTCTGAGGAATATGGTCTTACTCTCGGTGTTCCGTGAATACAGTATTGTCCTGACCTGTGGGGCCTCTTTTCTCATCATTGTCACTACCATCATCATCGTCACCATCCTCTCTGTGATCAGCCAGCTAGAAGAATTTCTCATTTTCATCCTCCTAACACCTCCCCATTCAGTCTTATATTTCTCAGAGAATGACCATTAGGGTTTGAAAGGACCTGAATAAACTGATTCTTCAAAGATGTAGAAGGAGTTGCTTTTTTTTTTTAAGATGAAATTCATATAATATAAAATTAACTGTTTTACAGTGATCAGTTCAGTGGTATTTAGGACATTTACATGTTGTACAGCCATCACCTCTATCTAGTTCCAAAACATTTTCATCACTCCCAAAGGAGACCCTGTACCCAGTAAGTAGTCACCTCCCATTCTTCCCTTCTCCTCGGCCCCTGGCAACCACTGATCTGCTTTCTATCTCTATTGATTAACATGTCTGGATATTTCATATGAATGGAATCATACAATATATGGCTGTTTATTTCTGTCTGTCTTCATTTGTCATAAAATTTTGGCTGTTTATTCATGTTGTGGAATGTAGTTCATTTCCTTTTATGACTGAATTATATTCCATTGTATGTATACACTACATTTTGTTTACCATTTGTCACTTGATGGATATTTTGGTTCTTTCCCCCTTTGGCTACTATGAATAGTGCTGCTGTGAACATAGGTATATAAGTATTTGTTTGAATACCTGTATTCAGTTCTTATGGTTGGGTACCTGGGAATGAAATTGCTGGGTCATATGGTTACTCTATGTTTAAACTTTTGAGGAACTACCAAATTGTTTTCCATAGATGTTGTACTACTTTTTATGTTCAGTAGAGAACTTTAGTTTTGAAAAATAGTACCAGTGGTTGAAATTTTCTCTTTTCTGATCCAGATTGGCCAGTGAGGTGGAAGGACTGCACAGTGGGTTGGAGGAACAGTAGCTTTAGGAACCAGATCTCTCTGCTGCTTCTTAGTTGTAATAAGACACGAACTCTGCTCTTGGAAAGATCATTCTACTAAACCATTAGGGAAGTGGGAGGGGGAACATGGGAGAAGACACTGAACAGAATGGACTGGAAACAGGAGGCCATTTTATAGGCCATTATGTGTAAATGGCTTTGAATCTGAATCATTTTCTTGACAAAGTAACATATTATTCTTGTGTATTTATTGATGGTATTAATTGATCACAATCTTGAGGTCTCTTGGGAATTTGCTGCCTGAAGTTGTATTAAAAGTAATTGAAGTGCAGCGTGTGTCAGAACCCCCTCTTGGGGCGCAGTCCTTCCAGGAGCATGTTGTAGAGGTCAGTGGGTGGGGCAAGGAAGTTAACTGTAGTAGCTAGAAGAGCAGGACCTGAGGGAGAGTGTGGAGGGTCAGGACCAGGGGAGCTCTATGTCTGCCATTAGATCGGAGGGGTAAGGGCAAAAAGAAAGAGCAAGCCATCGGGGGTCAGGATGGCATGTTTACAGTCTAATAAGGCACAGACAAAGAATTCTGGATGAGGCATTAACTGTGATGAGGTTGGGATGCCCCAAGCTCATTCTTCTCAGGGACTTTTTGTCATTGAGTTTGGGAACAGAGTCAGAGACAGAATCTGGGCAGGCAGTGAACAGCCATTCTCCACAGGTTCCTGTGAGAGCTTATTAAACAAGTGTGGTGGCTCAGACAGTAAAGAATCCTCCCACAATGCAGGAGATGCAGGTCCCTGGGTCAGAAAGATCCCCTAGAGGGAGAAATGACAACCCCCTCCTATATTCTTGTCTCGAAAATCCCATGGACAGAAGAGCCTGGAGGGCTACAGTCCATGGGAACGCAGAGTCAGACATGACTGAGTGACTAACACACACATAGGGAATGTATGAACTTTATCCAGATGTCTGCAAAGATACTGATATCAAGAATAAATTATAAAATTTGTGACCTAGCAAATGCAGAGTCTCCTTTCTCTGAAAATAGTCACCGTAGTTCATATACTTGTCTATGTTGTCCCAAACCATATTAGGAATTACTGGATTTCAAACAGGTCCTCAATTTATTCCTAAGAAGCAGCTACTTATTCCTCATTTTCCTGAAGCACTGTAGCAACAATGTCCCATAGTGGGTAGTCGGGTATAAAAAATCCTAGAAGTTCATTTCAAACCAAAGGTAGCTACTGCTTTCTGTTGTCACATCTTTCTCTGCTAGGAACTCCACCAGAACCACAGGGTATGGGAAATCTTGTTGGGGTGGGGAGATTGGAAAGGTCCCAGGAGCTGGAGCCTACTGGGGATTCTTTGGGATAACTGAAGGGCAGTCCCTGATAGGTTACGGGAGGAAGTCTTACTCAGCAGGGTTAATGTACTTAGGTCTCCAAACTGCCACAGAGCACAAGGGATCTTTCCTGCAACTTTCTTTGTTCCTCTTAGTCAAGAAGCAACTCTGTTCCTTGGAGTAGAGCCATGTTTATAGAGGAGTCTACTCAGAGACCTTGTGCTCTTAGGCATACTTCATCCAACTCTCCAAAGTACTTCTCTGTAGGTGCTAAACTGGAGGACATTTCTTCTGGAGATCGCACCAGAACCTCATAGCTCTGTTAATGGCAGCATATTGAATAGGACAGGTTTGGAGAGGGGATCCTGGCATCCAGGATCAAGAGATGTGGGCTCCTTGGAGCCCTCTGGAGTCCGTGAGCTCACCATAGACAGTGTCTCCTGTACCAGGGCATAGTAACAGCTGAAGATTTGACCCCCTTTCGCCCTTTCTTCCTTTGTGGGAGTTGTGTACAACTTGGAAAGTAGATCAAGGACATCCTGGCTCCCAGCTGACTGCCCCACCTGCAGCCTGGAGGCCACGTCCCTCCCCAGCCAGCAGGCAGAGGTCCCCAAGTTCACAGAGCTGGTACTTCTTCGCCAGGATTTCTGCTGTCTTGTGGACTGCCCTTTCCAGACCATTTCCTCCATAGGCAGCTCTTTCCAGGGCGCCCTCAAGACTTGAATCCAAGTTTCGGGGAGTGAAAAAGTGAAGGCATACATCTTAGAGCAGCAGGGACCAGCTGCTGGGTCAACTCCCCTGAAAACAGGGCTTCCTGGGGAGCGCCTGGACCATCTCAGAATCTGCCATCTGATTTCCTGCCAGTGTTGCTGTCTTTTTTTAAAAAAGATAACATGAAAATAAGATGTTTTCACGTGATAGAAAGGGATGCGGTGGAGGGGCGTGGGGGGCGGGGTGCGGCGGGAGTTAACTAGGAAGGTTCTCTCTGTAGCCAGGGAAGTTAGGGGGTACATTTTAGGAACTCCCTGAAAGCTTTTTATTGTATTTACCAGGCCACCCTGCCAAGGGGAGGATGAGAAGTCTTTGCGCCTGATGCAGGATTCAAAGCCCTGGGTGCTTAATAGGGTGACACAAATGTCTGTGTTTCCTTTTGCTTTTGACCAAAAGCCGTAGGGAGGGGCCGCCCCTGGGGACAGTAGGAGAGGCTTGCCAATGGGTTCAGTAGCCACCAACCTGGTTCCCAGCCCGGGGGCCCAGCCTACGGGGTTGGAAGGGCCTTGGGCTGCAGCCGAGCAGCCGAGGGGCGGGGAGCGGTAGGAGGGGGCACCGGGACGGTTCCCTTCCCTTCCCGCCCCGCCCGGCTGGGAGAGATACGGAGCCCGAGCTTTGCTAGCGTGGGCTCAGCTTGAATCACGCCTTGTGATGCTTTTGCCAAATGAAACTTTTCTGTTAGGGTGAGGGTGTGGGGGTGGTGTCCAGCGATTCCCTGCCTCCCTCTCCTTTCCATCCCCCTTCGCAGCCCTTCTCGGCCAGGGAACGGCGCTCGGCAGAGGTCAGCTGGCTGCCTTTGTGGCCGCTTCCCAGGAAGGAAGAAGCGTTGTCTGCAGATCAGTTTATCAGCTGGCTTTCCTGTGCCGAGCGCCACCGTTTTCCGGGGACAGCCGCCACCCCCGTGATTCCCAGCCGGGGCTGCCGGTGGTGCGTGAGAGCCGGATAAATAGGCCATTGTGAGGCCGCTTAGAATCCAGGTTCCTTATCAAATTATCCACCAGCGAGAAAGACATTCCGCCCCTACTGGCTGTCATCTCGGGTTCTCTTTTCTGTCTCTGCAATTATAGCCATTTGAGTTTCTGTTGATTTCCGTGTGGGACTCCCCCCTCCAGTTTTGAAGCGACAGTATCCAGAAAGCAGTTTACTTGTGCATACTGTGTGAGGCGGGACTCGGGGGCGTGGCTCCTAAGAGCGTTTTCTTGGGGGTTGGGTTTACAACCTCGGATTAGATTCTTTGGCTTTCCTCTGTCCTTTCGACTTCCTTCCCCGCCCCGCCCCCCACCCCCACCCCCAAGCAGCCACATCATTCAACACCAACTGCAAGTCCCAGGGAGACAGATCTCTAAGGCTTTAGATCCAATGGGGGTTTTCTTCTTGTTGTTTTGGGGTTTTGTGAATATTATTTATTTTTATTCTTAGATAGCCTTGAACTGCTTTATGGACACTAAAGATATGAAGGAGAAAAAACACTATGGAAACTGGTTATCTGGTGGAGGCTAGGAGGAAGTATGATAGTCTGAGGAAGGCTAATGTTGAGGTGTTGGTGGTGTCTGCCTTCTGGTTTAATGCTGCAGCAGCAGGCCTGACAGCAGTCGCGCTGGATTGGAGATCCCCAGTGCTTGACTTACTAAATAGTCATTAGCCACCAGAGCTGGTTTTTTAGGGCCTATGACTCTTGTGGTTGCACAGAGTCTCTTGCTCAGAGGGGAACCCTTGCTTGGTTTAATGTTCTGCTATTATCATCCTGAAAAGTTTAAATTTTGAAAAGGACTCTGCATTTCCACTTTCTACTAGGATTTATGAATTATGTAGCTAATCCTGTGGGTAGGAATATAAGTTCCTTTCAATAAGCTTGAATAATGGTTTGAATAAGTTCCCATTTGAGGTAAAATGCTGGAGATGATTCTCTTAGTTTTCAAAATATCTATTGCAATGTTTCTGGTGGGTTAGAGAACAGTCTACAAAGTAAACTGAGGTCTCTGGCATCGTGGCAGCTGCAGCAAGCTGTGTGTGCCCACTGCCAGAACAAGAAAATGCATCCAGGCAAGACTTGCTTCCATCTGCCTGCTCACAGTTCTTACTTTAGGGAACTTAAAATGTACACTTCTCAAACACCTAGTGATTTCCACGATAAGATGCTCTTTTGTGCAGTTATCACTTCTCTTTCCTTTCATCCATTCTGAAATGCCTGTCTTCCACATTAAGAGGTCAAAGAAGCATTGAAAATAGACTCATCCTATCAAAAGTCTCCCACAGTTTTAGAGACTGTGTTTAACTGGTGGCTCAGATGGTAAAGTGTCTGCTTACAATGTGGGAGACCAGGGTTCAATCCCTGGGTTGGGAAGATCTCCTGGAGAAGGAAATGGCAACCCACTCCAGTATTCTTGCCTGGAAAATCCCATGGATGGAGGAACCTGGTGGGACTCCATGGGGTCCCAAAGAGGTGGACACGACTGAGTGACTTCACTTTCACGTTAACATTTTTAATACCTAAAACTTTTGGGAAAATACTCTGAATCTGGGACTTGGCCCTCCTGAGAGACTGGGTGAGGTGTTGGTGGAGGGGGGGGGGGGGCGCGTGAAATTCATAATAAATAAGCAAAATGCTATTTTTCTAGAAATAATTTGTATAAGAAACAATTGTCTTGGCTTAATGATTTAAATATTCCCTTCCAGAGCATATTCAATCATTTGCTTCAGTCAGTCAGTCAGTTCAGTCACTAGTCACGTCTGACTCTTTGTGACCCCATGAATCACAGCACACCAGGCCTCCCTGTCCATCACCAACTCCCGGAGCTCACCCAAACTCATGTTCATCGAGTTGGTGATGCCATCCAACCATCTCATCCTCTGTCATCCCCTTCTCCTCCTGCCCCCAATCCCTCCCAGCATCAGGGTCTTTTCCAATGAGTCAACTCTGCATGAGGTGGCCAAAGTATTGGAGTTTCAGCTTTAGCATCAGTCCTTCCAATGAATACCCAGGACTGATCTCCTTTAGGATGGACTGGTTGGATCTCCTTGCAGTCCAAGGGACTTTCAAGGGTCTTCTCCAACACCACAGTTCAAGAGCATCCATTCTTCGGCGCTCAGCTTTCTTCACAGTCCAACTCTCACATCCATACATGACCACTGGAAAAACCATAGCCTTGACTAGATGGACCTTTGTTGGCAAAGTAGTCTCTCTGCTTTTTAATATGCTACCTAGGTTGGTCATAACTTCCATAACTTCCATAATCCCATAACTTCCAAGGAGTAAGTGTCTTTTAATTTCATGGCTGCAATCACCATCTGCAGTGATTTTGGAGCCCAAAAAAATAAAATCTGACACTGTTTCCACTGTTTCCCCATCTATTTCCCATGAAGTGATGGGACCAGATGCCATGATCTTAGTTTTCTGAATGTTGAGCTTTAAGCCAACTTTTTCACTCTCCTCTTTCACTTTCATCAAGAGGCTTTTTAGTTACTCTTCATTTTCTGCCATAAGGCTGGTGTCATCTGCATATCTGAGGTCACTGATATTTTTCCTGGCAATCTTGATTCCAGCTTGTGCTTCTTCCAGCCCAGCATTTCTTATGATGTACTCTGCGTATAAGTTAAATAAGCAGGGTGACAATATACAGCCTTACACCTCATTAATTTATGACTTTACTTTTCGTTCAATAAACGACGATTCTATAAGACTGGCACTAGGAAACATTGTGATTCAACAGTGAAAGAGAAGGGGATTCAGAATAGTGATTCTATAAACAAGTGACAGCTCTGTTTACAAGTATTACAGGAGATAAGATAGGAATATGTATCAGGATACTTTAGGGCCACAAAGGAGTTATTAGAATCAATTCCATTTGCTCACCATTCATGAGTATATTTTTCTTCACAAACCTTAATATTATTACTATTGTTAATAAACAACAAAGAATTGGCATGTGTTAAGCACTGTACAAGCACTTTCTCAGTTGTCTCAAAATGCGATGAATTAGTTCCATTTGGAAAATCCATTGTATAGAACTAAGGCTGGGACATGAAGTAAATTGTTCAAAGCCACACAGTTCCTAAGAAGTAGAGTCAGGATTGGATATAGCTCATCTCCTCCAAAGTTTGTGCCTTTTCAAGGAAGGCTGTGCTGCCTCTAACACACAGCTGTAGCATCATGTGTAATCACAGTTTATACAGAGTGAAAACCACAAAATACACTGAGACAACCATCTCCAAAAGGGACAGCTTTGTTCTCTCCTTACCAGTAAGATCATGCTTTCTAATTGCCTCAGGAATTTATGAGTGCCCATGATGTAAATGGCTCCCACGAAATGAGACTGGATTCCTAAATGTAGGATGGGTGCAGAGCAGCTTGCCATTCCTTTGTTGCTGTTGAGTCACTCAGTTGTGTCTGACTCAACAACACAGTTGAGTCAAGACTGTAGCCCACCGTGGGACTTTCCAAGCAAGAATACCAGAGTGAGTTGCCATTTCTTCTCCAGGGCATCTTCTCAACTCAAGGATGAAACGCAAGCCTCCTGCGTTGGCAGATCAGATTCTTTCCTGCTGAGCCTCAGGGATGCCCCACTGGATCCAGGCATGGAATGCTACTATGGGTTTCCCTGGGGGCTCAGCAGGAAGGAATCTGCCTGCCAATGCAGGAGACGCAGACTTGATCCCTGGTCAGGAAGAATCCCCCATAGAGGAAATGGCAACTCACTCTAGTATTCTTGCCTGGGAAATTCAGAGACAGGTAGGGCCTGGCAGGCTACAGTCCATGGGGTCTCAAAGAGTCAGACACTACTTAGCGACTAAACAACAACAGCCATTCCCTTGGGAGGGGATTTTGTGGGCATTCAGGAATCTGGTGAATTCCACCATAATGGAAGATTAAATCTCCAGGTGTCTCTACCTTAGTGATCAGCTTTATAATTTTCATGTCAGAAGTGTAGGAAGCCAGCACTTGAGGCTCATTTCCAGAAATCCCTTTAGGCTGGTTGGCACTAGTGGCTCCATCAGAACCACCTGAGTTTGGGATTTTAGAGACTTCCTGGTCTTACACACCGCACTGCAGCAAGGAGAAGGTGGCGGAGGCTGGCGGTTTAGGGTCAGAATGGGGCTGAGGGTGGAGCAGAGCTGAAGACGTGGCCAGGATAAGGTCATGGAGAGTCAGAGTGAATGCTCGAAATAGAATTCAGGTCTAACACCTTCCTGTCTGCAGAGAACGGCCTCCAGGTAACCTGAAACAGGGTTAGCTTGGGGCAAAGCAAAGCAAAATTGAGATTTCTTTCTTTCTTTTCTACTGGAATCTAAAGACAGATTCCTTGGCTGGGTGATAAATGTTTTCACTGGGGAGAGGCCCTGTGTGGCTAAATTCAGTTCCTCCCACCCTGAGATAGTCTCTTGCTCTAACCTTGACCTGAATGTTTAACAAAGCTGTGAAATGGAAGGCAAGAGTAGAAAAGACCAGCAAACAGAGAAAGAAAAGAATCATTCATTGTAACATTGTGAAGAGCTCAGGTATTTGATTGCCAGACTCTCCATTGTTGCTTGGGCCCAGCTTATGGTTGTACTTTTTAAAAAGAGTATTATGATTATTATTATTTGAGTAAAAAACATAAATGATCATTTCAGTGGAATCTGGTAACATTGGTAACATTTTTTATCCTACATAGCTGGTGAATTTTAACCTGTAGTTGTTAACTGGAAAGCCTCGCATTTGGAAAGACATCAACAAAGTAAGTTGTGTAAACAAAATCCCTACATACATAAAAACAATTGTTTGGGAAACAATATGACAACTTTATACTACCTGTCTTGGAATGGCTAGGTAACCAGGGAATCTGTGTAGAGGCTATCTTTGTTCTTTAATTCATTCTTTGTCAGGCAGTGAATAGCTGTGGTTTTTTGTGCTGTGAGACAAAAAGACATAAGCTCATCTGTCCTCAGTGTGTGATGCCTCTGCTTAATCACTCAGTC